AATATGAGTGTGTGAGAGGTGCTGTAATAGAGAGAGAGAGAGAGAGAGAGAGAGAGAGAGAGAGAGAGAGATAGGGAGGGAGTGATTGAGAGAGAGAGAGGAAGGGAGGTAGGGACGGAGGGAGCGAGAGAGAGAGGGAGGACGATGATGATGATGATGATGCTGCTGCCGGTGGAAAATGGCTGCTGCATCCTCGAGCCCAACCATATGAAGGTGGACAGAGAAAGACGAGAAGATGAGAGCAGCGAGCACAAGGAGTGAGTGAACGAGAGACCGTGTGCGTGTGCGTATGTGAGCGAGAGTGTGAGAACGCGCGCGCGCGCGCGTGTGTGTGTGTGTGTGAGAACGCGCGCGCGAGTGTGTGTGTGTGTGTGTGCTCGGGAAGAAGGGGAATAAAAAAGACGAGAGACCGGGGGGCAGCCAGCTCGAAGCGGCGGGCAACACCGAGCCATGGAGGGCGAGTAAGTCCATGCATTTTTCTTTGAGCTGAACAATCTGATTGATTTGCAGCACCTCTAATGGACTGTAAGATGCTCACGCGCCAGACCATCTGATGTTAGCTGCTCATAAACACTAGTATTACGCAGCTATGGCTATCAACACTGAACACCATATTCTCCACAGACATCCAACATTTGATGAATAACGCCAGAGAACGGGCCTCAGCTGAAGTGCACTATATAGAATCGCGTGAAAGACGAACACCGCGCGCAGTAAGAGACGGCTTGTTGTCTCGAGGATGGTGTGTGTGGAGGCTCCGCGTATAACCACCAAATACATCCGTCGATTATAAAACGTGTCGATCCAAATCGGCGAAATCTGGGGAGTTTTCTGGCGTCGGGAGCACACTGGCGGGGTGGAGGCGGAGGGGGATGCTTTTATCAACGCGTCTCGAGTTTCATTATGATTTTTAAAGCCAAACTTTATGAATGAAATGTGATTTTTCTCTCACCCCCCTCCTCCTCCTCCTCCTCCTCCTCTTCCTCTTCATGTCTCCCCTCCCCCCAGCGCTTCTCTTCTTCTTCTTCTTGTCCATATCCTGCTTTCACCCACTCATCTGCTCATTGAATTTGCCGTGCTGAAGCATATATGTGCTTTTATCCATTCATAAACAGCGGGATGAACGAATGAGTGCGCGTGGCGCAATGGCTTATAATAACAGACACCGTTATTAACAATAACACAAACGGGGCTGTGAATCAAAATGGATGTGATTTCATAGCGTTTATTGTATTGGAGCTTGTCGGACTGGAAACCCGCTCTGAGGGCCTTGCATGGCGAACGGGCGCGTTCATTGATACATCTCCACTCTTCATCTCCCATCCTCTCCCTCATCCTCTCCACACATCTCAGTCCCCGCAGGCCATTGGTTTATTTACGATTCCCTTCGCTGTGCTACTCCCTCATATGAACACATGGAGCCATTATGTCCTCTGTTGTTTTATATCGGACTATATGAAAGACTTTTCCACGGAATGGCTGTAAACGCGCGAGAGCGCTGAAAGTGTCGATTAGATGTTCCTCGCCCACGTGACCGTCCATTAAAAGAAATCGCGCTGTTTCCTCTCATTGTTATAATGCTTGCACTGTTTATGTATTCTGGACTGAACCTGTAGCTTAGGGAATACAACACAAAGCACACGTGACGTTGTGATTGAACACAGACCATTGCTTGCAACCACGCCTCAAGAAATCAATCAACATTCTCCTGTATCCCCGCGTCTAGTTCACATATGTAGCACTTACAGTAGCCTACATGATATTATTAAAGTTAAGCCCACGCATGAAATGTCCATGTCACCTGACAGATATCACTCAAATGGGCGTCCAAATAAATCACAGCTGTCTCTGTCACAGCGAAACTATTCGGGGGAGGACCCACCTTTATTTCGCGAATCAGAAACGTTCTCAGCCTGTCGGTCTTCTGCGAGTTCAGGGGCCAGTTCAAGCTCAAACCGCTGTGCACCGTTTTGCTACGGTTTCCGGTTTGAACGTTTCCTGGAAACGGTGTGCAACGGGGTTTGAGACGCGTTTTCTCTTGTTTGGTGGCTGTGTCAAACATGTCAGCCCAATCAGCTGCAGCATGTATATAAACTAGACAGCTCGCACAATGTAATTAACATCCAGATAGATTCACAAGAGCAAGTATATTGTTTGCACATGCTTATTTACATTAAAGGCAAAATAACTGAACTAATAAGAGCGTAAGTATAGATCTGGAACTTCTTTTTTAAGTCTGTCTAAATATCATTTAGTAATTGCAATGTCTTCTGGTCCATATCCTTTCCTTTGGAAGGTGTGCTAGACACTGATTAATGTAACATAAAAATACTATACATATTTATATGTTTTGCTATTGCATTATGGCGTGACACTTTCATAAACTTTTCTATACCGCTCTGATTATATAATGGTAAATATTACAATAGCACAACAACAGCGATCAGCAATGATGATAAGCCGAATACTCACAATAACAATAATAAGGTCATATAGATCATAACACAGTCTCGGAGGTAAGAAGTGGATTATCCTTCACCTGTTTGTCTTTTCATCTTGAAGTGCGAGGCAAATGTTGGATCACAATAATTAGGAACCACAGTTTGCACAAATCCCTTCATTTGATTGGGATGTTCTCTTTTATTCTGGACGGCAAGGGCAGTGACTGTACCATCGAGTGTATTTTGCAGTATTAAACACGTATTTATACTGATTTCATCAGGCTCCGAAAATTCTTCAAAAAGAACACAAAGAATGCCATAGTTGCAACTCTTGCGTCATCAGAACAGGGTGTCCAACGCACCACCGTTTCCGTTTAAAAAACGCTTTGCACCGTTTTTGTCAGGGCTGAACGCAGCCCTGGTTTGCAGGGGGCGGGGCTTTGGAAAGGGGGCGTGTCAATTTCATTAGCTAAGGGCGAATTCCAAACGGAAGTGAGCATCCCTGTGCCCTATTCCCTTTGAAGGGCAGAGCCCTTGAAATGTGTTCTTTGAAGGTTGTAAAGCATTACTGTCTCTAAAGCGTTTGGAACTCCCTTGGCGAAGGAAATGACTGACCAAATGTTACCTTGACAATGCTGCGCGTGTGTGCAGCATTCAGCACTCCATCAGTTGATGCAAATAAATATTTCTTCTTCTTATTTTATTCAAATATTGTTTAATATTATATTGCTTACACGACCGTCTTAAATCATATCTACCACTGACAAAAAATATTTTGTATTTGAATTAGCCTTTTCTACTTACGTTTGTATGTGAAGTGGAAATCAACCCCAAATTTGCTTTAAAAAGCATCGTAAGATCTACTAACCAAAGATCACATGAAAACTGAAATCACTCCCGTGAAGTGACCATCGCATGTTCCCTTCAGACTTCTGGAAGGGCCCTTCGTGAATGGCGCTTCCCTACAAATGGCGTCCCCTTCCCAAAGCGCAAAAGAGCCATTTGGAATTTGCCTAAATCTGGTGAATGTTGTCAAAGGGGGTGAAATCAAATCAGTCGCACCTTTAACATCAGCATAAAAATTAACCATATTTACTGCATGTTAAATGTATGTTACGGGCCACTCATAAGTACACTTTGATTCAAAATGAGTAATATTGTATCAAATTATAATAACTTGCTCCACCTCTGAAATGACTCTTCATTTGGACTAACATCATCATCATGGCGTGGGCAGGGAAAAGAGCCAAACATGTTTCATCCCCTCCCCTCCATTCATGTGCCTGCTGCTAGCTGTGACCATCACATCAACTTTAATGTAGCAAAAGTCTGTGAGGTGCGTTTCCCTCCCAAATCCCCGATCTCCAGACAAACCTGGTTGCAATTGGCTCGAACTGGCTGGCTTTAAGTCTTCAACATTGATAAAAAGGAAGATTGTAGAAGGCATTTCACTACTAAGTACTTCCAAAATTTCAGTTATCATGAAATCAAAACTTAACTTATTTACATTTGAATGCATGTTCTTTGATGTGGCCATGTTCATCAGTGCACGCTATTTCTATTAATAAAATGTTTGCTTTTGTAATCTCTTTTACAGATGTAATGCGAAACATCCTTTTTTTTATGATGCCCAACCACATTAACGTCCACTTTTCATGATCTAATAAACTTCAAATGGATAAAATCCAATGTACCATCTTACCTTTATTCTCACTGAATATTCAGTTTCACTTGGAAATATGTCTAGAAAGATTACAAGCAAAATGGTTTACGAACATCATCATTTCAGTGGAAATTGCAGGCCAATAATAGTACATCCTTACACATCTTCACACTGCATCTTTGTCTTTTCTCTATCAATTCTCAGTTTCCTTCATTTTGAGGCTATTTTAATATTTTATACTGATAGTTGTATTTTCTTCTTTAATTGCCTTTGTCTCAAAGTCTGTGTTTGTGTGTGGGTGTGTGTGTGTGTGTGTGTTTGTTTGCACTCAGTTGGCTAGAGCACTCACTGCTTTCACTTCCCTAACAGTGTGCGTGTCCGAGCGGTGGTGATGACACGTGACGATTCTAGTGGTGGCTGGGTGCCCCTTGGAGGTGGCGGCCTCAGTCATGTGGTCATTTGTAAGGGGCGGAGCTCTGAAGGTCGTGGGCGGAGAGAGTACGTCATACGTGGAGAACGGCTACGCGATCGAGCAGTGAGTGTGTGCGTGTGTGTTCATGCCTGTCTTTGAGTGCATTGATGTTCCCTCAGCCTGACAGTCCTGGTAGTTGTGGTAATTTGGTAGTTGCCCTCATGAGTGGCCCGCGAGTGACTCGCCTCTTTTTTCGTGCAGCCTGTGCTGGAATGTGCCATTCAAAAGGGTCTGGTCTACAACAAGGTGAACCCCATCTTCCATCACTGGCGTGTGGAGGAGAGAAAGTTTGGTCTGACCTTCCAGAGCCCAGCTGACGCCATCTCCTTCGAGAGGGGGCTTCAAAGTGTCCTTGAGAAGCTGGACAGAGGTACAGAAGCAGCAAAAGTTAGTGAACAGGAAGCTGGAATGAAAGATTTTAAAGGGGTCATATGATGTTGCTAAAAAGAACATTATTTGGTGTATTTGGTGCAATGAAATGTGGTTTAAGTTTCAAAAAACACATTATTTTCCACATACTGTACATTATTGTTTCTCCTCTATGCCCCGCCTTTCTGAAACGTGTCGATTTTTACAAAGCTCATCGGTCTGAAAAGCAAGGTGTGCTGTGATTGGCCAGCTATCCAGTGCGTTGATTGGCCGAATACCTCAAGCGTGTGACGGAAATGTTACGCCCCTCACCATACTGTGATGCCCTGTCCGGCCGGAGCGACGAGACAAAAACATTAAAACCCATTATAAACAAGGCATTTGTTGCATCCAGTGGGGACATAATTATGGATTATAATGACTTATACTGTCTTTTTACGCGTTGCGTTGCATCGCGCCACGTATACATAAAGCCCATGTCTGCATTTGTGATCGGAGAAATGACAAACAACAAGCGCTACTCTACACTGCTCAAAACTCGCGTTTGAATCGTCAGTGGCAAATCCTTTAAATATAAAAAACGTACTTATAGACTGTGAGTCAGAACAGCCGGCATTGTAGTCTACTCTCCCAGGATCAGGACACAGTCCTCCATAAAATGTGCTGCACACATCTGAATATTTGGGTTGAACTGTTCTGGAACAGTGTTGTAAATACAACTTAACCACTGATTTCTAGTCGTGTCCTCTTTTGGAAGGCCAAACAAAGTAGTTTCGCTTTCAAAACGACATCACACATTTGAACACAGCATCACACACGGCGGGCTAGAGTGAGCGGAGGCCGGAGGCCTAAAGTGAGCGGAGGCCGGCTTGGATGAGCGGTGGCGGGTGGGCTTGAGAATGGCGCGGCTGGCGGATTCGACGAAGGAGCGTCCGGTGGGCTTGCGGCAACCACATGTGACTACCCCGGGCTGGACTTCGCTTCGTCCACGGTGAAAGCCAATCCGGCGATCCACAGCGGAAGTTGATGTATTTCCTCAGCGACCAGCACGGATCAGCTCCAGGCATGACGAAGCGGATATCGTCCTCTTTTGGAAGACCAAACAAAGTAGTTTCACTTTCACAACGAAACACAGAACACAAACACACACGCGTCTTCACAACATGGCAGCAGCAACAATACGACAGCGAGAATAAAAGTTACACCTTCTTTCTTTGTGTGAACATTTGCGCAGTGTTACGCAAATCTTCCCACTTAGTGATGTAGGTACAGTGGGGCAAATAAGTATTTGATACACTGCCGATTTTTCAAGTTTTCCCACTTACAAAGAATGGAGAGATCTGTAATTTTCATCGTAGGTACACCTCAACTGTGAGAGACCGAATCAAAAAAGAAATTCCAGAAAATAACATATGATTTTTTAATGATTAATTTCCATTTTATTGCATGAAATAAGTATTTGATACAATAGAAAAATAGAACTTAATATTTGGTACAGAAACCTTTGTTTACAATTACAGAGGTCAGACGCTTCCTGTAGTTCTTGACCAGGTTTGCACACACTGCAGCAGGGATTTTGGCCCACTCCTCCATACAGGTGTTCTCCAGATCTTTCAGGTTTTGGGGCTGTCGCTGGGCAACATGGAGTTTCAGCTCCCTCCATAGATTTTCTATTGGGTTCAGGTCTGGAGACTGGCTAGGCCACTCCAGGACCTTGAAATGCTTCTTACGGAGCCGCTCCTTAGTTGCCCTGGCTGTGTGTTTGGGGTCATTGTCATGCTGGAAGACCCAGCCACAACCCATCTTCAATGCTCTTACTGAGGGAAGGAGGTTGTTGCCCAAAATCTCGCAATACATGGCCCCATCCATCCTCCCCTCAATACGGTGCAGTCGTCCTGTCCCCTTTGCAGAAAAGCACCCCCAAAGCATGATGTTTCCACCCCCATGCTTCACGGTTGGGATGGTGTTCTTGGGATTATACTCATTCTTCTTCTTCCTCCAAACACGTCGAGTGGAGTTTATACCAAAAACTTCTATTTTGGTCTCCTCTGACCACATGACCTTCTCCCATGCCTCCTCTGGATCATCCAGATGGTCTTTGGCAAACTTCAGACGGGCCTGGACATGTGCTGGCTTGAGCAGGGGGACCTTGCCCACGCTGCAGGATTTTAATCCATGACGGTGTAGTGTGTTACTAATGGTAACCGTTGAGACTGTGGTCCCAGCTCTCTTCAGGTCATTGACCAGGTCCTCCCGTGTAGTTCTAGGCTGATCCCTCACCTTTCTCAGGATCATTGATACTCCACGAGGCGAGATCTTGCATGGAGCCCCAGTCCGAGGGAGATTGACAGTCATCTTGAATTTCTTCCATTTTCTAATAATTGCGCCAACAATTGTTGCCTTCTCACCAAGCTGTTTGCCTATTTTCCTGTAGCCCATCCCAGCCTTGTGCAGGTCTACAATTTTGTCCCTGGTGTCCTTAGACAGCTCTTTGGTCTTGCCCATAGTGGAGAGGTTGGAGTCTGATTGATTGAGTGTGTGGACCGGTGTCTTTTATACAGGTAACAAGTTCAAACAGGTGCAATTAATACAGGTAATGAGTGGAGGATAGGAGGGCTTCTTAAAGACAAACTAACAGGTCTGTGAGAGCTAGAATTCTTGCTGGTTGGTAGGTGATCAAATACTTATTTCATGCAATAAAATGGAAATTAATTATTAAAAAAATCATACAATGTTATTTTCTGGATTTTTTTTTTTGATTCGGTCTCTCACAGTTGAGGTGTACCTACGATGAAAATTACAGATCTCTCCATTCTTTGTAAGTGGGAAAACTTGAAAAATCAGCAGTGTATCAAATACTTATTTGCCCCACTGTAACTGGAGGCAGAGTTATTTTTAACTCCATGTAGATCACAAACCTCTGAAAGCGGTTGATAAATGTAACCGTTAGCGTTTTTTTATCCAGAAAAACCGCAGCTCCTCCGTTTACCTGCATTTATGTTTAAGGCAGTCTTGCCCTCACAAACATGGCGGACGCGTTGACGTATCGCAGCAACGGCTCAAAGCGGCCAATGAGGCGTCTAGCTATTTATTATGTCTATGATGAACACGCCCAGAGTGGGTTATGATTGGTCGACAGACAGGCTCAAATCTGATTGGCTAAAGAGTACGAGTGTCCCGCTGGCAGTAGTTCGCTGGTCTCAAAATATACACACAAATCCAGAGCGATTCACATTCACAGCCCCTGATAAACTCGTGAATCTTAAACATTCAAAAATTGTGTACACAGTTGTACATCTGTGGATTGTGTTTTGCATTTGTGAAAAGTATTTTATGGCAACTTTACAGATCTTTATGCACCAAGAGCTTGTAACACATCAAAGAGAAAGGAAAAATTGAAATCGCATCATATGACCCCTTTAATATACTTTAATATACTTTAGTTTTAAAGCCAAATAACGCTGTTGTTATGGCTGCTAAATGTACCAGTGCAGTGAAGATGATGATGCCATGCAAGGATATTGCTAATGTGCCTAATGTGAACTACTATTTTCTTTCTTGAAATGTATTCATGATAAACGGTGCTACACGGACCAAGGTGGGCGGGCTGACAGGGGGCGTGGTGGTGGTGGGCGGCAGCCAGGACAAGTCGGAGCTTTGCGTGGTGCGCTTTGAGAAGGAACTGGCCGGCGTGGGCACCACAGGCTGCGAGGTCACCGTCATGCTGGACACCAAAGGCTCCCAGCTCAACTCTTCGCCCACCTGCATGCCCAACGCCGTGCCGGGAGTGCCGTCGGCCAGCAGCTCCCCGCAGGAGACGGGCAAAGGCTCGCCCTCTCCCTGCTGCATCCACACCTCGCTCGCCACGCCCCGCTCTCGGACTCGCAAGCGAGGGGGCAGTGGAGGGGAAGCCATCTCGCCCGACGACGACAGCTCCTGCCCGCAGGGATCCTCCTCTTGCTCGTCACGCTGTGTGTACTGCCGCTCCGTCTTCAGCGCCTCAGAGAACGGACGGGGCCGCTGCCGGGACGCTCCCGACCCGGCACTACACTGCCTGCGCCAGTGGACGTGTGTGTGGTGCGCAGAGAGCCTGCTCTACCACTGCATGTCGGACTCCGAGGGCGAGTTCTGGGAGCCGTGCTCGTGCGAGGACTCGATGGGCCGGCGGCCGCACCCGCTGTGCTGCGCCCGCTGGATGGCGCTGTTGGCACTGTCTCTTTTCGTGCCCTGCATGTGCTGCTACCTGCCCCTGCACGCATGCCTGCGCTGTGGGGAGAGATGTGGCTGCTGCGGAGGAAAGCACAAGGCCGTGCGATGAGGCCTAACCGGGGGGAGGGCGTGTGGGCGGGGCTTATTGTGACGGGACGGGAGCACAAAGACGTTGTCGTCATTCAAAGGAACAGCCGTAGAGCCAGATCTCCTACATAAACCTTCACGATAATATCCCCTCGCCCCCTCCGAGGCCGTCTGCTGCATTCCGCTCTTCTCTGCTCGGACCCTTCACGCTCGTGGTGGGTGCATGGGTTCGGGAAGGTCGCTTTCTGATTTGCTGGTCGTTGGGGTCAGGGGTCGTCTCCGGGAGGTGGGGAGTGAATGGGGATCAGTGACGTGTAAACAATTGTTAGTTTTTTTTCTCTTGGGTTTTATTTATTTAATTTAGGGAGAAAAATGAGATGAAAAATGTTTATAGCTATGGTTATCAGACCTTTTTTGAGTATATTATTTTACTTGAACTATTGAAAGATATTTTTTTGGCAATTGATTTAATGAATACACTCCCCTCGTACCTCTAAGTTACTGAGTTTTACCTCAATGTCCAGTGGAGAGGAAGGCAGATAGAGAAAGAGACACTTATTTCGGGGACTGTGTGCTGTGGTGAGGTTTTGTATATGGTCTTTACAGTAGGTTTTTCACACACGTTCGGCCAGAACGTATTTGTGAAGGAGAACATTTTGATGTCGTATCACTTTTAGTTGTTTGAGAACAGGGAACGTGAACGGTCTGATCGAGGGCAGTTTCACCAAAACCACATACATACTTTCACCACATACATGTCATTCTTCTGTCAAGATTACAGTTGTATTGAACTTGCCAGCAACCAAGAATGTTGCCTATATTTGACCAAAAAAAGTGGAGAGATAATCTAGACATGAATCTGCCGAACATTTGCACAGCAAATGTGAACCGAGGCCTTGAAATGTAGTTGAACACACCACCAAAAATACAGTGCAATTAGTTATTAATAAGAAGTAAAGAATAAAAAGCAAAGGCTTGTTGTGTGTGACACAACATTTTAACTTTATCTGTCAGTATGGAAACAAGAGAAGTACTCAATCATTAACTATAACGAGTAACACTGCTCCTCACGTGTGCTTTTGAGCCGTGTCCTAAACAGAGCAACGAAGTGACAGGACATTTTGTCTGTGGAGTTGTGCTGGGTAGCCCCGCCCACAGTGAAATCCCATTGGTCCAGAAACATCAGCTATGTTCTGACTGCCTCTGACTGTATTACAGTATATTTTGTTTTCACTGCGGACAGACAAATGACTTGACGCTGAAAACTTCGTCGTCTGGCTAAAGGACACAAGAATTTAGACCAATCAGTTCAAACACTGCCTGGCATAACGGTTTGGACCTCAAAGTGTTAAGAAACATTGCTTTAAATATCTCAAAGCTGCTATTTCAACTCCCCTAAACTTGTCATACCTCGCTGCTAGTAATGAGGAGTTAGGGAATCAGACACAGCCCTGTAGTCCATTTTTGAGTTAGGAACACATTGATGGTTTCTCCATCAATGTTGTATTAACTGCTCATTAGAGTCACTTTAAAAGAAAAGGGTTTTTACAGCAAGATGAGCCACTAGACCATTCGATCTACACACATGCATTGTATTTCATTGTGCATCTGGACTCCATTTTTGAAGATGTGAAACATTCTCTCACACACATTCTCACTCACTCTTTATGGGCAGAATATTAGACATGAGTAGGGAAACACAAAAAGCCCCAAAAATAGCACTGGAAAAAAGAACTTTGCGAGATGAGACCACCCTTGAGGGCCCTAGTCATACATCCTATTAATAAATGTGCCTTTTGATTTATTTAACCAATAACCTATAATTTCTAAGTAACAACATACCTAAATACTCATTTTCTTTTTCGGGTTGTTTATTTCTGCCAATGTGCATATTTTAATATGTATGTGTCTATTAGTTTGAAAAGTAATCAATGGAAAATATTACCTGTTTATATATTTATTGAGATATTTATTCTAATTCTTTATTTATTTTTGGAGACGGGTTTTTATTTTCTGTGCTGTCTTACTTCTCTGACTTTGTGCCAATTTGCTGCTTTGAGGTGTTACATATCGTGGGTTTGTATCATTAATTAAACCCTAACTCTATATTTTAATGAAAAGTTTGCACTCTGATTCGTGTTTACATGTGATTATAATGTACACTCATACTGGGATGGCATCATTCAGCATTCACTCATAACCACAATATCAGGTGTATTAAAGCACAAGATAGCAATAGTGCATTGTGCTCCATTCAAACATCCAGTTGGAACAGGGCGAATTTCACGAAGAAATGTCTAGGTCATATTTCGGGCCCGTTTTCAGAATTTATATTTTGCATAAAGAAAAGTAAATTCATATTTTCATGACAATAATCTTCCCCCCCCAAAACACAGTAATGAAAGTTCTGTGCAGTCAATATTTTTCAAATTAAAATCAATAAAAATTCAATTTAAATCTGTTTATTATTATAGTTAACAAACACTACCTATATATTCATGTAATTTAAATAATATACAATTTTGTATTACAGTGGTCCACATTACAAACTACAGAGAAATGGGAGGAGAATGTCCTTGATTGTCATGAAAATAATGTAAAAAAAATATACATATATTTTCTTGAAATAAGAGCCAGACAATTCCTTACAGTTCTGTTTGATATACATTCAATCATAACTGTGACCAGTAGGCGGAGACAATTTTCACCACGCACATTCTTGATTGTCCTCAAGGGGGCGCCTCAGTCAGTGAAATTCAATTCCAGAACCCAACTAAACTCAATTGAAAGCAAGTAGAAGAATTCTATTGAGTTTCACATTTATTTAAAAATGCAATGGAGAAAATATAAACACAGGAGAGCTGGATGGACAGAAAAGGTCTTAAAGTGTGAGCATGTACCCGTGTGAGAGCTCAGGACAGGTGCTGGCGCTTGTGTTTTAGGATCTCTGTTGAGGTGAGAGTCAGGTCTTTATTACAGATGTCACAGTGGTAGGCCCTGGTCAGACACGATGAAGATGATGAGGATGTTTTTTCACTGTCAGACTCTGTGAAAACAAAGAAAAACATTGACTGATATTGCAAATCTAGAGCATTTTCAAAATAAAGGGTGAAAATACTATTGCTAAGACATGAGAAGATTTAAATATGATTTGTATTAGAAACCAACTGATATATATATCAGTGTAATTTTATTATCATTAAGATATTATAATAGCTATAATAGTAATAATATAATATTTAACATAATATTCTGAATTATTTTTCATTTTATATTTTCCATTTTCAATTTAATTGTAAAGTTGTAATAATTTTGTTTTTGTAATTTTTTTAAAGTTGTAATACATACATATATATATATATATATATATATATATATATATACATATGGCTGATATTTGGCCACTTAGAGATTATTGCCGATTTGCCGATCTGCTGAGTCATTTCAAAATCTACAGCCAGCCTAATTATTGGATAAAAACATGGAAAATGTTTTTACGGTTTTGTGAATACTGAGCAAACATTCTTTTTTACATTAATTTATTTCAGCTTTTAACGCATGTATCATTTTCCATAATTAAATAACATTACATATATATATATATACGTATATCAGCATTATTGCAGCTTTTGGCCAGTCTGTTGTCTAGAAATCGGCACTGGTATATTTTTAGCCATTTTAAATAAACTATAAACTTCTATTTTAGAAACTTTGTAAATGTGTTGAAAAAGGCACTGTTCTTTACAGAATAGAGTGCTGCAGGGATGATGTATTTTTGTAAGCCAAAACATGGAAATGAATTAGCATTTTAGCACTTCCCACTCTATCGTCCTGAAGTCAGTGGCTTTTTGGAATGGGTTTTTTAGTTAAATGTCCGAAATAAGATCTGTGGTGAACTCAAGTTAAAGATATTTTCCTGTTCTATTCTCCGACATGAAATACACCAGTAATACCACCTTGTGATTTCTTAAAGCTTTTACTTTTTTGTGGTTGCTAACAAGTGGCTAAATGGGACTACAGAGGTTGTCAGTGACATTAAACATCATCACACTGAACAGGCAAACTCATGTTCTCACTAATTCACTTTAACAGCCTTACTGTGTTTGTAATCATGCTCTTGCTAAATATTCTTCAGGTAAAAGTTTTTAGTTTTTTTTATAATAAAGACTGAAAGAGTTGTCAGAAGCTTTAATGGTGGTGACATTGAAGTCAGGTTACTGTGGTGTAGTTTGTTTATATCCTATGTTTAGGTTTTTCTTCTGCCGATTGTATTTAGGCTTTAAAATTCATTAAAAAGTTGTTACTCCATAGCAAGACATCCAAGCATATTCTGAGCCTGATTCATGAGCCGCTCACCTTCCTCAGGCTGCTGTTCCTCTGGCGGCCTACAAGTGGCCTCGTGTTGCATGCGCTCCAAGGGCGTCAGGGGCATATAAAGGTCACAGTGAGGGCAGCTCCAAAAACTGCGTAAACATTCACTGTACAGGTCCTTAGAGTCCTACGTGACACGCATTAAAAAACAGGAAGTGGTGCTATTAGAGGACTGTCAGAAAGAAAGGGTTTTAAACATCCTGTCAGAGAAAGAGCACTCACACACAGACAGTTGTAGGTAAAGTAGCTGCACAAACGTAGGCCTCCTTTAATGGGATCTGGTTCGGCCTTCATTCCAGGAAACAGAGAGCCCATAGCTGAAGCGGAAGACAGATCCGGATCCAGTTGTGGTCCGATGTACAGGTTCTGAGACTGCAGTGCTGTCAGACGCCTCAGACTGTAACTAACCTATGAGAGAGAAAGTGATTATCACGTGTGTTTGATCAAGATTAATAATACAGATGCATTAATATGTTTGCCTTGTTACCTCAGTGTACAACAGAAACCGCACGAGTCCCTCACTGAGCTTATCCAGTTCTCTGCGGGACACTTTGGGCCCACCTGCCCCGAGTCCAGTGGACGAACCATGTCCGAGCTGAGCCTATATATATATATACATATGGCTGATATTTGGCCACTTAGAGATTATTGCCGATATATGTACCTGCTGAGTCATTTCAAAATCTACAGCCAGCCTAATTATTGGATAAAAACATGGAAAATGTTTTTACGGTTTTGTGAATACTGAGCAAACATTCTTTTTTACATTAATTTATTTCAGCTTTTAACGCATGTATCATTTTCCATAATTAAATAACATTACATATATATATATATACGTATATCAGCATTATTGCAGCTTTTGGCCAGTCTGTTGTCTAGAAATCGGCACTGGTATATTTTTAGCCATTTTAAATAAACTATAAACTTCTATTTTAGAAACTTTGTAAATGTGTTGAAAAAGGCACTGTTCTTTACAGAATAGAGTGCTGCAGGGATGATGTATTTTTGTAAGCCAAAACATGGAAATGAATTAGCATTTTAGCACTTCCCACTCTATCGTCCTGAAGTCAGTGGCTTTTTGGAATGGGTTTTTTAGTTAAATGTCCGAAATAAGATCTGTGGTGAACTCAAGTTAAAGATATTTTCCTGTTCTATTCTCCGACATGAAATACACCAGTAATACCACCTTGTGATTTCTTAAAGCTTTTACTTTTTTGTGGTTGCTAACAAGTGGCTAAATGGGACTACAGAGGTTGTCAGTGACATTAAACATCATCACACTGAACAGGCAAACTCATATTCTCACTAATTCACTTTAACAGCCTTACTGTGTTTGTAATCATGCTCTTGCTAAATATTCTTCAGGTAAAAGTTTTTAGTTTTTTTTATAATAAAGACTGAAAGAGTTGTCAGAAGCTTTAATGGTGGTGACATTGAAGTCAGGTTACTGTGGTGTAGTTTGTTTATATCCTATGTTTAGGTTTTTCTTCTGCCGATTGTATTTAGGCTTTAAAATTCATTAAAAAGTTGTTACTCCATAGCAAGACATCCAAGCATATTCTGAGCCTGATTCATGAGCCGCTCACCTTCCTCAGGCTGCTGTTCCTCTGGCGGCCTACAAGTGGCCTCGTGTTGCATGCGCTCCAAGGGCGTCAGGGGCATATAAAGGTCACAGTGAGGGCAGCTCCAAAAACTGCGTAAACATTCACTGTACAGGTCCTTAGAGTCCTACGTGACACGCATTAAAAAACAGGAAGTGGTGCTATTAGAGGACTGTCAGAAAGAAAGGGTTTTAAACATCCTGTCAGAGAAAGAGCACTCACACACAGACAGTTGTAGGTAAAGTAGCTGCACAAACGTAGGCCTCCTTTAATGGGATCTGGTTCGGCCTTCATTCCAGGAAACAGAGAGCCCATAGCTGAAGCGGAAGACAGATCCGGATCCAGTTGTGGTCCGATGTACAGGTTCTGAGACTGCAGTGCTGTCAGACGCCTCAGACTGTAACTAACCTATGAGAGAGAAAGTGATTATCACGTGTGTTTGATCAAGATTAATAATACAGATGCATTAATATGTTTGCCTTGTTACCTCAGTGTACAACAGAAACCGCACGAGTCCCTCACTGAGCTTATCCAGTTCTCTGCGGGACACTTTGGGCCCACCTGCCCCGAGTCCAGTGGACGAACCATGTCCGAGCTGAGCCTGAAGCAGCCTCTCCCATTCACCCCGCAGACTGAGGGCCGAGGAGAGCACCTTCAGCGCTCCGTCAGTCAAGCCCAGCTCGAGCCAGCCGTCCACCACCACCCGCGTGCAGTCAGCATTACTGTCCACAGAGCTGGCCACCAGCAGCAGCGCCTGCGACAAGAAGAGCGTCCAAGAAGATAAAGAAAAAGGACTCTAAAATGTTCTTAGCAACATGCACTACCGGCTGGTAAGATTTTGAAATGTTTTTGAAAGATGTCTCTTATGCTCAGCAAAGCTGCATTTATTTGATCAAAAATATAGTATAACATATATATGAGGAGTTAATTTGCAGAAACCGATAACTTCATTTGCAGAAACCGATAAACCGATAATTATTTTCAGAAATTAAGTTTTTTTTATTGCGCATTCCAAGTAATATCAAACTGCATTTGGGTTGTTTTGATTAAGTAATAATAACTTAAACAAATACAGGTAATTTACTAAATTAAAGTTCATTGAAAGTATGTTTTTTTTTCTTACATATTAAAAGTTTGTTTTTTGGCAAAAGCAGATAACTCCACATTTCATGTTTTAGAGTTTAAAAACACTTGTTTAATCTTTGTAATC